TTTCAGCTCTCCTTGGAATATAAAGGGAGGCAAACAGCTTTCCTTGGTACCAACCCAGATTTTTTAAAAAATGATCTTTTAGCGCCACCTAGTGTTAGAAACTGTAAAATCAATATTAAGATTATACTCCGCAACCTTATACCTGCTTTCCCCAATCTTGCGCCTGGATCATTTGAATTTCACTTTCCATTATCCCCCAGACAACCGATGAGAAACATGGGAAAGGGGTGTGTGGCCATCTGGCAAACCTGACAGACTGAACTGGGAACCCAGGCAGCCAAGATTTGGCAGTCAGTCTGAGGTTCTGCATGGTTGTCATAAACTATTGATCTTCTACTGGAGCCTGACCTCCCACGCAAGGCCAGCCCTACCATTGGGCAGGATGACGCAGCCATCTCAGATCCTGCGAGGTGGCAGGAAGGTATTGGAAGATTGATCTTCATCCCAGGCACCCTACCTTGTGCCCCTGAAGCTGACCCAATGCCTTCAGGGGCAGTGGAGGATGCTCACCCATTGCCAAGGCTAGGAAAATCAGTGACCAGTGCTGTTGGCTTTTATACATGGAATGAGCAAGGCTGCCATCAGCAATGACTGATGGCTGGGATGCCATTCTGGTGGTGTATCCAGTTTGGAGAGACACCTGAACTTTGAGGAGCTATCCATGGTGCTGCCTGGACCCATGTTGCCATGCCACAGATAGCTCGTCAAAGTTCAAACGGAAACTCAGATTTGGATATTTTGTACCTCTGACATGGAGGCCACCAGTCACCACTGGTGGCCATTGGGTGGTCTGTCTGTGTATCTCTCTCTCGTCTCAAGAAGCAAGATATCTGGGGCCAGCCCTGGCTCCAAGCAGATGGTCAAAGTGAACAATGTGGTTAAAAACACCACAGTGCCCCGGTTTTCCATCAGGAAACCAGACTGCAGGAAGACAAGTCAGTTTTCAGAGGAAGAGAAAGTTGCCCACCAATTGTCTAGGTTCCAGCATCTTTGAGCACTTGCTGGATTTCCAGAGTTATTCTCACACTGACTTACATTGTGTGAAGAGAAGAGATGGTGTACTGAGGGAAGATATATTCCTGCATCATTTCTACTAATGACTCTCTTCCGTTTTACCATAAGGTCACAATGCACAGATTGTTTTGGCTAGACAGAGTACATCAAGTTTTGTTCAAATGGTTCTTTCCTTAAAGGTAGCCTAAAAGGAATTTAAAAATAAATAATGAAAGTACAGAGGGTTGGATTCACACTCATGTGTACCTACAATGATGAAGTCTGGATCCAAGCCAGAATGATTACAGAACATCTTGGATATTACTAAAATTGGGGTGGAGGTTGGTATGAATGCACTCTTTTTAAAGACAGAAATCTGAAATAAAATGTCTCTTTTATTACTGGAATATTCACTATTAAGAAATCCATGGAATTCTTCAAGAATGCCTCCATCAGTTGCTAGAAAATCTAGTATGCCTTAACTGGGTGCATCACAGATGATTTATGTAATAGAAAACAAACCTTGTTCAGTTGTGTATTTACCCATCATCTACTTCCCTATTTGTTTGTGTGCATAGTCAGATACAAGGTACAAAATCCTCACTGGTACCCTGAGATGACTCAGACATTTTAAATTATATCTGGATTTTGACAGTGTATTCTTCAGTCTGCCCCTGGGGATCTTTTAGGATCACTGACCAAACTGGAGTTCACAGACCCCATATGCCAGAATGGGACCCAGTACACCATTACTCCATACTGGCAAGCTGGGCTCTGAATGCTTTTAGTGATCTGAAAATAATTAGGGACCAAGCATTGCCAGACTAGGATTTGAGCAGTGGAGGATCTGTATGTTCCTAGTGGAATTCCTGCATACAGTCTGTGCATGAGCAAGCCTCAAATGCCATAATCTCATCCCATGATCATAAAGATTTCCTGCTCTTCCAGTTCACCTCCAAAATGGTGGACCACATTCAAAAACAATGACACACATAGGAAAAATTATATATTTATTTTGGATCCATTTTTTTCCAGTAGACATTCCATTTGGAATTAATAAATGCACATGCCTTAAAATGTATGGTTTCTTCATCAGATAACCATGATTTTCGTTGCCAGTTTGGTCAGTGATCCATTTGGCAATGAAAATCATGGTTATCTGATGAAGAAACCATACATTTTAAGGCATGTGCATTTATTAATTAAAATTGCACATTACTTATTCCATTAAAATATGTTTAATAAAACAAAGAATTGAAGCACATCATATTATTCTCAGGGTAATGTGAGCAAGCAGCAGCAGTGGAGGTGAAAACCCACATTTTAAACTACAGTGCTATAGAAACAACAATGATTCATCAGAATATAAAGATCACCAGCGGCAGAGGGAGGATGGAACAGTTCTAAAAGTCTGCAATGTGCCATGCGTGTAAGGGAGCCCTGCTGAAAACATTACCCATTTTTATACAGGGCACCGAGCCAGCTCACACGAAGCATAGTAATCAAGCTATGAGTAAATCTATCCTGTCTATATGACCATGCAAAGCGCAGATACTCCGTCATGGTAATAATGCTGTGTGTACCTTGGACTGGCAGAAAGGCAAACAAGTGGGTAAGTGATCAAATCAAGCCCAAACTTGCCCTGGAAGCAAAAATGATGAAACTGAAGTGATCGTATTTCAGGCACGTCGTAAGAAGGCAAGGCTCGCAGGAGAAGACAACCATGCAAGGACAAGCTGAAGGCAAAGGAAGAGGCAGAAGACCAACTATGTGATGGATTAACTCCGGAAAAGAAGCCAGTTTACAGGAGCTGAGCTGGGCTGTCCAAGGCAGGACATTCTGGAGGCTGCTCATTTGTAAGGTTGCCGTAAGTCAGAGACAAGTGGACAGCATGTAACAGCAGCATGCACATCGAAGATACAAAGAGGCACTTCTGGAAGTCAGCGATGCAGCTAAGGCAGCCCCTTGGGCCTGATCTGCAGGACAGTGCAGCCCACCTCCCTGCCCCAAAAAACCATCCAGATGAGGGGTGGCCTGCCTGAGATGCACAGTGTTACAGATGCTCACCTTTCTACTCCCACTTTAAGAACACACTCCCCTTTTCTGCAACAAAATGGCCCATGTTCTCAAGGAAGTGTGCTTAAGCATCTGGGCAGCAGATGCAAACTCTCTTCCATTCCTCTAGTCGTGGTGGTGAGACAATGTAAGGGAATGTAAAATGTGCCACCACACAGGCAAAGCACATTTCTCCTTCTGAAAAACTAAAATACACGACAGGATTAGCAAGCGTTTTTTGTTTGGAGCTTTTGCCCAGACAGATCAGGAATCCTGAAGCAGTTCTGAAGCATCAAAGAGAAGCAGAATATGAGCTGCATGTGCCCTCACATGGACAAAAACCCTGTTCTCCAAACCATTTTTCAAATGAAATCTGACTGAGGAATTCAGGGCTGCCATCAGGAGGAGACAAAGTCAGGCACCTGCCAAAGGTCCATATCCCCAGAGGGGCCCCAGTGTTGCTTCACCGCTGCAGCCTGTTAGCTTGCCCCCCCCCCCCCAACACTGGCAGTGGAAAGGAAGAGAAGCATGTCTTGGTGCTCTCTTGCTCTCTGCATGTTAAGCAAGCAAGCAATAACTTCAGCAAGAACAAAGATGGAGAGCAAGATTAGCTAGAGAAAATGGTGGCATGAACTTGCTGAGGGAAGGGCCCATTGAGGAGGTCTTGCCCAGGGGACTGGAAGACCTGGAGTCAGCAAGGATGGACCTTCTCTGAAAATCCCAAATTTGTGTCCTTTGGCATCTTTGGCTTGCTTTGCTTTTCACAGGCAATATGGAATGTAACCAGCTGTGCTGCGCCACTTACTAAATACTGTTGCTTGACAAATACATAATGCTAGATACAGTGGCAATTCTGCCATCAAGGCTCATCCTGCATTAAGTGCCATATAAAAAGGTACTGAAACAAACACTGACGTGAACAATCAAATAATACCGGTGTCAAATATCCGAAGAACATTCAACCTATATCTGAATACTGGAAAAGTGTTCAAAGTCCAGTGCTGAGGAGAATTAGAAGGAACAAATTGGGTTTAGCTGTAAGAGTAGACAACCTATTCTTAGTTCAGATCCAGTTACTCCCAGCAGACTTTCACCTGGGAGGAGACCGTAGTGGCATGGCACAGGTGTGGCATGAAGAAGGTCCCAGGATTGATCTCAGGCGTCTCCAGTCAAGAAGAAAAAAAAAAATCTTGTGGCAGGAGCTGAAGAATAAATCTGTGGAAATCTTGGAGACTCTGACCAGAGGAGAACTTATTGATTTTATTTACAAGACATATTTGTCACTTTACATCCAACAGGATTTCCAAACAGTGAACAGAAGAAAATAGAATTAAGATATTTAAGAATGTATTATAACAATAAAATTCAATAAAGCTCTGGTTGCTCAGTCAGAAAGGGTTTAAGTCACAATGTCTTCAGGTTCAGATACAGACAAAAGGAGAGATCCTATAGCCCTGCAGAGCATCTTGGGGACCACAGGATGTTGATTCCTCCTTCTGAAGCTGTAGATACCACTTTGACTTCAGGAACAGGATCCAAGATCCAATCCCTCCCTGGTCCTTAAGCTGCTGCAGAAAGAACTGTGATGATTACTTTCCAGGTCACAGCAGCAGCCTCAGATGACCTCATAGAGGTCAAAAAGGGAGGATTCTAGTGGAAGAAATAAGAAGGGAAACGAGGTATGCAGTTCTATGGCCTCTCCAACCCAGTCCTGCTCAGCATGGCTTCTCTAGAGGGGCTTAGAGAAATTTTAAAGAGATGGAGAGGCACAACTCACCTCCATCGCTCATGTTCTGTTGGCAGCAACTCAGCAGGGCACAGGAATCCCAGAAACTTCCAAGACTGGAGGCTTCCATCTAGAAGCGGCAGCCCAGGAGGACTGCAACCATAGCCATGTCAAGCAGAGAGAAACTTGAGGGCTGATATGGTTGGGCACTTCCTGAAGGCCCCCCCTCTGGAAGAACCTCCTGGACTTGCTCCGCCACCTCACTGCTGCAACCTGCTTGCTCCATGTGTCGCTCTCGGGCCCAGGCCACAGTGGGCGGGGTGGGGGGCAAGCACTTGGTAACAACGATGAGAAAGAGAACGAGGAGCCATAGTGGTTGATGACAATGGCATGGAGAAAGAAATGTCACTGAGGGAAGGGGCTCATTTAGGGTGTCTTCCCAAGGGCCCTCAGGAGCTGGCACTAGATGCAGGCACTGAAACCAACACAACTTAAATTAGTCATGATGGACTGAATTGAGACTTAAGTTAGGCATGACAAACTTCAGTCTCATTGGTTTCAAGTGGTTCTGCTTAAAGAATGGGTAAATGTAGAACCAGCTCACTGTTTATTGCTGGCACTTGTATGTCACCCCATAGCCAGAAGGCTCTCTGTTTGGTTCACATCACGATCATTACAATGATACAGCTGAAAATAGGTAACAACAATAAATCCATATCACGTAATACAAAAATGCAATATAAAATGCAACAGGAGGGTAAGCACAGTATAATCAATAGGACCATGAAACAAACCGGCAGTGGCAATAGAGGACTAGTTGGACAGACAGTCCCTCGCAAGGTAGCACCCTATGCCTATTTCCTTACAGTTGCAAATGCTGTTCTTGATCTGAGCAGTAATTCTGTAGACACGTTGCCGTTCGGAGTCCTGGGCTTTGCTGTCTCCCTTGCCTGCTTCTCGGTTCCTCATGCAGCAGCATCACAGCTTTGCCCTGATGCCCTCCATCACTTGGTGGACCGCAGCCAGGCAGAGCAGACACTGCAGTACCGGAGATCGATCAAACAGCCTGATCTGCTCTCAGCCAACTTCCTATGTTCCCCATCTAACCTGTCACTTTCTTGCACTGCTCCCTACATGCTGGACGTTATCTGATGCACTGGCAGGAAATCAAAGATGCAGCTTCCTAAGGCAGACCCATTTTGCATCCTTGAAAATAATCCCCACCCCTTTATCATTGCCACTGTCATAGTGTGAAACTGTGGCGTACAGCTGAGTCCAAAGATGAGCCAGCAAAGTTAGCAAGACATGTTGCTGCCTCAGGGCCAGGCATGCCCATCCCCACAATTTCATGTACAGAACCTTGCTTCCTCACAGCATCTTCCTGAGCACTGCAGGACCACTTAGAGGGCGCAGGGCAAGCCACACGGTCCACAGGCCTCTGTCCTCCGCCAGCACGTCTACCTCCCCCAGAAGCCACCTGAGGCAGCTGTCTCACCAACAGTATGGCTGGTCCTGCCCCAACACCTCCATTCCCCTCAACACGACTACACCTGCCCTCTACAATACTGCACACAGAGGCACTGTTGATGATGTGATGCCAGGACAAGGGTCCATCTGGATGTGATGCTATTGCACGAGTCTGTGCTAGGACATGATGCTGGAGAACTGGTCTGTCTGGATGATTCGGTCCAGGCAATTCCAAATTCCTAGCCCAAAGTGTTAAGAGCATTCTCTTAACTCTACATTCACGCCTTTATATTTTCATTACAAATCTTTCTTTTGCATTTGCTTTAAACACAAGCAAGGGTGGTTCTGTTTGACTTTACATGCACAGTCTTGAAAGGGAAAGTCCCAATACTAGTGAGTGAAAGCAGCAGAGCAGACGCACTAGTGAATCGCTTGCTTACACTGATGCTGGTGAGAAAGTGTTCTTGCACCTTGCCACTGAAACAGGGGAGAGAGACTTCCTGCAAGTTTCGATTCAAAAGCAAAAGTTGGATAGAACTGAGCATGAGAAATTCAGTGTAGTAGCAGCAAATCTGGCCCCTTTTAGGGGAGGCAAAATGCCTCTTTTGATTCATTCAGCTTATGTGCCTCATTGAATAGAGAGTAACAAATCTGCTTTATTTTTCTCCTGTGGTAGCTTCATCCCAAGTTGAAACCATGAGTGAACTAAAATGGTTCGGGTTTCCTTTCCTCATGTGGACTGTAGCTGGAACTGAAAATGTCTTCAGAAGTACCACTCCTGTCTGTTTGGCATACCTGTATTTTGGGATGGGAATATCAGTGGCAGAAAGCATTGATTTCCATTCCTTTTCTTGTTAATTACAACAATGCTACATTTCATTTCATTTATTACATTTCTATACCACCCCATAGCTGAACTCCTTAAAAATGCATTGCAAAACCATTTACATACAAATATATAAATAGATGGCACACAGAGATATGCATACATCTCAAATAAAATATAAACAATCAACAATAAAGAAAAATCAAGGTCCTTATTAAAACCTCCTCATATCATGCCAAATTCTTGAGAGAAGAGGAAGGTCTTAAGTTGGCATCCAAAACTATCTATGTCAGTGCCAGGTGATCCTTATTGGTGAAATGATCCATAACAGGGGGCCACCACTAAGACGACCTTTCCTCTTGTGACCACCTTCCAATCTTCCCTTGAAGGAAGTATCTAGAGGAGAGCTTTAGATGATGAATATATTGTACTGGTACATTCCTGCTGCGAAAGGTGCTCCTTCAAATATTGCAGTTCTGAGCTATGAAATGCTTTTTAGGTCTAAACCAGCACCTTGAATCAGGCTCAGAAATATGCAGACAAATAATTCAAGTAGACAAGATTCAGTATTATTTAATCAGAATTTCTTGTCCCTCTTATCCATCTGGCTGCCACATTTTGCACAAACTGAATCCTGCCAGCAGGAGTTTTTCATCTAGCCTGCCCACAACTTTGTCCCAAGCCCCCGCACGATCATCAGTGCTAGACAAAGTCTCCCTTTCTTTAATATTGCATTGGAAAGGCAACCTTCACTTCCCTCATGCTTGGCCCTCAGCAGGTGCATTAGTTTTGCTACAGATGCTTTTATGTGCATGCACAGCACAAATAAGATGTATCCATTCTCCATATTCAGAGCTTTCATTTCTAAGGAAATTTAAAATGCATTGCCTGGAGAATGGCAATTCTGGTCATTCAAATCAACCCAAGTGGAATAAAGCATCAGAGAAGGCAAACATATGGGCAAAATAGCACAACAATTTGTTAGGAACAAGCACAAGAAAACAAGGAAATAGGAACTGTTGGAGTGGATGAATTTATGTATCCTGCCTCCCAAAACCGAGGAGCAGAGAAGTCAGAATCAAACCAAAAGACAGACAAGAAACAACCCCACTTTTGTGTGATGCTCTCATCCATCAACCAAAATGATGTCTTTGGTGTTTTCTCTGAACAGCTGGGGAGAGAGGAAAATTCATGGCATTCTGGAGTTTCCCTGAAGGTAAATAGGTCACTTTTTCTCAAGAGTACAGTCAGCAGCAGGGGACATAAGCCACAGTTCCTTCCCATGTGTGCTATTAATAGATTTTTCATCCCAGAACTGCAGGGGGAAAATGTCCTTGTTTGCAATGCTAACTTACCATGCCTTCTGCTTTTACCAGCTGGCATGCCAGAAGGGAAAGCAGCTGCGTGAAGGATGGCCTTTTTCTGGAGTCTAGAGCCCAGCAGGAACACAGGACTAAATATCTGCAAAGACAACAGTGACAGAACTAGAGGGAGAGAAATATGGAGTGATTTCCAGAGCATTTTCTAGCCAGGCAAATGGGATATCTGTGTGATACAGTGGGCAAGCAGCTAACTAACCAAGGTGCCTCATTAACTATGTTGTGACTTCCAGTAACGCACTAGAGGGATTTGTAGAATTACCTTCAGCAATTCAGCTGTGTTGTGCAGACCTGACCAGGAGGCCTGGTGCTGTAGGTAACAGGCCAGCCAGAACCCTGTAATAGCCCAGCATTAGGCTACCCTGGCTGGGTTTGCAGGCACAACAAGCTGGGCTGCTGAGGGTAATTATACAAATCTGCCCAGTAGACAACTGGCATATGTAGCATGGTTAAGAAGTTGCCATGGCTTGTTAACTGCCTGCCAATTGTGCAATCTCAGTCACCTGTTAAAAGATCTTAGGGTCATACCTATTTCAAACAAGACTGAAGGAACACTTAGAAATGCACTCATCAGCATCGATACCACATAAGCCCTTGCTGGGGAACCTATAAACTCTCCAGAAATTGTTGCACTACGGCACCATTGACCATGGATGGAAGTTGGAGTCCAGCAATGCGAGCAGTAAACATACCCCACACAGTTGCACATATTCTTTATCTGGGCCAATTTTCTTTGTTGCATCTTTCCTACATTTTTTTGGCTGCTGTTTCTCATGCAGATCTGAGAACCTCAGCTTTATTTTGGGAGGGTGGTGGTTTCCATTCCGAGCAGGTCCCCATCAAGGCGGTTGAGCAATATTACAATTCCTCAGGCAAAATGATAAATGTACCAACATCGGGAGCTGAGAAAGCACTCTCAGAAAACAGGATTTCCACAACACTCAGCACAGGTCAGTCATGTCCATCCTTTTTTTAAGCATATAAATTTGTTCTCTGGGACTGCTAAGCTCAGGAGTACAGAATTTGTTTCAGCCCAAGTACAGCCTTCCAAGTTCTCAGCAGCTGCAGTCCAGTGGTGGATAAGGCCCAAGGCAAATGTCAGCAGAACCAAACACACCAAAGACATCAGCATATTATAAGTGGGCAGAGCAAACCTATAGCTCCTAGACAGTGTCTAGAGGACCATAACGGGGGATTTGGATTCCCAGACCAAAAATTGAAAAACTGGGAAACCACCAAATGATCAGTGCTTGAGAAAGTGCATAGCTGTTGGGGAAACCCTGGTGAATCAGATAGGGAACCCAGGCCAGCGATTTGCACCCCTGGCACAGGCAGCACTCAATGCTAGCTGACCATTTCCAACAGGGTGTCGTACATCTAGCTAGCCCTGAGCAATAATGTGTGGCCACAAACATGGGGGAGATGGCAGAGGGAATGGACCATGCTCCCCAGAAATCATGTCCTGGGCAGAACCCCACTGTCGTTTTTCATACACCAGGCTTACATTTCTTCTGTAGCATAAAATGGACGGTCCATTTTAAATCCACTTTGAATAAGCTTGTAGAAATTTGCATCAACCTGCACTCCAGGGTAAGGATTGACACCTAAAGAAAAGATGGTGGAAGTAAGGAATGAATACTGAAAACCCTGAAGAACAGACAGGTTTCTGCAATTCCTACCTAAAATGCATTTTTTCTTTCAATCTGTTCTAATGCCAAACTTAAGGAACAATTCTATGCATCTTTAGACAGGAAAAGTCCTGCAACACCCATCTCTATTTCCATCCATCCACCCTACATTTTTTTCTGCAAGGAACCCATGGTGGTCTAGAAGATCCCCCTCCTCTCCATGTTATCTCACAGGGTTGTTCTGAGGATATGTTGGATAACGGTCTGCGACTGTCCCAAAGTTACCCATGGACCTTCATGGCTGAGCAGGGACTAGAATTCAAGCCACCTGAGCCTCAGTCCAACTATTATGCCACACTCACTGGAGAATGCTGGGCACTGTAAGACTTGCATCTGGCGAAACAATGATAGGATTGCACCTTTAGTGATCTTGTCCTTGACATCAGCTGAAATGTGAACCACACATGGGCCCAGGAAATGCCTCAGATTTATAGAAAAATACTAGTTTACACATTGCATGCAGAAGAAAAGAGAAACAAAGACAAAGAAATGTTTGGCAAGGACTCATGCCAAGGCTTCCCAGTGCTGGAGAATGTCCTGAGCAGCACGTCCTTTTGTTATTTTTGGTAAAGGTGAGGGAAATGCGGGCATGACTCTGGATCCTTCAAGCCCCTGTCAATCTACCAAAACCTGGGAATGGAGAGGTGGGACTAGGAGTAGTGACTCACACATCTCTAAAAAGAGGAAATTCATCACCAGAAAAGAGGCTAATGTGTGTAATGCTTGCACATACAAATATGGAGGTACAGGAACACATCTGGAAACAATTATTATGATTGCAATAGAAATGCAAGACATCTAGCCATCGTGGAGAAGGCTGTCTAGATCTCCCGAGTGCCTGCCAGCCCGGTTGGTGGTCCAGGTGTTCATGGTTGATGAGCAGCTTCAAGGACCAGCCACTGCTCTCCCTCCCCAGGTTCTCCAACATTAAATCAGGCTTCAAATGAGCAGCCTACGAAAGAGGACTCCTCCAAATACCGGTCTCCTCTGCCAGCTCACCAAAATACAGGATTGTCATCTGTAATGTACGCCACCTAGTGACCTTCATTAGGGATGGGTATGCTTATGAGGCTGTAAATACCCTCTCCCTCCTACACTAATATGGAAAGTTTCCAGAGAGATGGGAAAGGGAAAAGGTGGCCTTTTCCCCCTTCTCCACTCCAGAACCCAGCCTCTCCTGCTAGCCAGGCTGAGACCACAACCATTTGTTCCAGGTTCTGCATTCACTTAATTAGGCAACGTTATCCAGAGCATACCAAGAGAGAATATTTCCCATAGCAAGATTCCGTAGGACCAGACATCACTCTTAATTGTGTAGGTCCCCTCAAACAAGCTTTCAGGCGACATCCATTTGACAGGTAAACGAGCCTGCAGGAAGAGAAGGGAGGGGAGTTCTTAAGGGAGCATTGTGAGGAAAGCAGCCGTGTGTGTTCCAACCCAGGAAGGACCATGTGCGGGAAAGACTAGCCTTATCCAGGCATGCATCTGCTCTTCAGCAGGGCTGAACTGGGTACTGCACAGTGGCACACAGGCAAGCCCTGTCCCAGGGCCCCTGCCTTGTCAGAACTCAGTAAGTATATTCAGCTCAGCTTGCTGACAGACGCCGCTCAGGCCACTACACTTCATCTGCCAAGTCTACAGACCAGCCAGGCACAGGGGGATGTGGAGGGTGTGCCCAGCTTCCCAACCCCCGTTTATCCCTGTGCATACGCAGGTGCACATCTACAAAGGGTCTGCATGGATCACCCTTCCAAACCAGGGTGTGCCCCTGGTTCCCTGTTCATCCAGCCTGTTCAGGGAACAGGATATTTAGGATGAATAAACACTGTTGGCATGGCAAAGTATCTGCATAAAACCAGGGGAAATGTTCTACAGGAAGCATCAACTTACGTTCCCTCTGACAACGTAGTTTGAGTCATTCATTATGTCCCTGGCAAGTCCAAAGTCACAGATTTTTGCCACTTTCCCATGAGTGACTAGTATATTCCTAGCAGCAAGATCTCTGTGGACACACTGAGAAGGGAGGATAGAGTGAGCTGATTCTGTGCCATGTTTCACAACAGCCAAAGAACAAATTTAACTCTTTGATTGCTTTAGAAGGAGCAGTTTTCTGTGCTCCAATGATAGGATAGATACAGTCGTCTGAAAAAGTGGAATAAATTGTTTCTACAATGTCAGAGTTAATCGCCTATGAAATGACTGTACCTGCTTAATATACAGCAAAGAAAGTCAGATAACAAAAGAGATAGAAATACCGTATAGACTTTATACAGTATAAAGTAAGATATGATTTTCAATTGCCTGATTGACATAGACAAGTTTGGAATATAACTATTAATGATAAATTAACTTGCAATATTAAAGTGAGAAAAGGGTATATAAAGAATAATAATTTTGCTGAGATAGGAGGTTCATTTATTGAATATGTGTTAAAAAGGGGGGAAAGGATTTGAACCTTCGCAGGAGTCATTGCAACTTTGGAAGGGGAATGAAATTTTTTGAAATAATATTTGTAAGAGTTTTTAACATGTATCCAATGGTCCTGGTGGTGGGATGCACAGTGTTTATTATGCTTTACTTGAATTGAATGTTTAATGTTGTATGCTTTTCTTTTAATTGTAAGTTTTTCTTTTAATTGTATTTTATAATTTAAAATTAATAAATAAGAAAAACTATAAAAAGAAATACAATATATACTGTGATTACAGTATATACAGAAGACAACAAGATTTTTAACTTATACCTTTTCTCCTTGTCTCTTGCAGGAATAATCCAGCCAAAGATAAGCACTTTAAAAGTCCCATTAATTCCAACTGGATAGTTTCCCACTGAAATTTACTGGACTTTTACCAATTGGCCTGTAACCATTGGAGCATGCAAACTAGGTCAAACTAGAAGTGACCTATAAAGGGTAACACTATAAAGGGTCAAACTAGATGTGATTTGAAGCATTCTTTTAAAAATTCCCCTGGAAGCTCCCTTCTCAATCCAGACATTCACTAATGCACAGGGAGGCAGGAAGATAATTCTTTCCTTGCAGATTTCTCATAGAAAATCTTTTCCTCCTCCTCACCAATTCTAATTTGGTCTAAATGTCTTCCATGCAGTTCCCAGCTGGAATTGGTTCCTACAATGAACTGGTTCTCTATCTTCTTTGAGCAGACTGAGCTACAGGTTGTGTTTATTAAATGGTAAGCTTGCATACTTCCTTCAATAGACCACAAAGGCACATCTATAGAGGTTTTTGTAATTAGTAATTAGTAAATTTATTTCAATGCTCCTGTTTCAGCAACTAACTGGTTAGAAAGCATCAACTCAAGCTGAGGTAGGCAGCCTGCAGAGTTTTGGTGATCCTCACTGCTTTGCCACTGACACAGAAAGGTGGTGGCAAAAACAGGGCCATTTCCTCTTCAAATGTAAAGGAACACATTCCTTTTCTTGCTGCCACTGGGGTCACCCCCATTCCATCCAATCTTGGCAGCAAAAACAGCAGCATAGCAGCAGGGATAACAGGAGGGAGCAGAGAGTCAGGAGACCCTGGGCCCCAGAGTTGCCCAACGCCAAACTAAGGCTTCCTTCTCTGGATGGTGGCTCTAATGTTTCTGTTCTACAGTTGCCTGGAAAGTACTTTCCTCTCCCCAGCACTCAGAGGCCACACATCCCCTTTCTGCAAATAAGAACCCCCAAGCAACACAGGTTAAAATGCATGTATTAAACCCTGAACAGAAGGAACTGAAAGCAAAAGGGGAACTGCTTATGACAAGTTACAGGCAACTATCCATAGTAGTGCAATACTTGTGGACACATTTCACAAGCAGAAGAGAGGTAGGTGCTTTAACCAACCTGGGGGATTATGGGAGCTGTAGTCCAAAACCTCTGCAGGCAGCACATTCTCTGCCTTGCCCTTCTGAAGTTGCTGCTCTTTGGGTATCTGTGTTCATTTCATTTTTCTACTACCCTAAAGCCAAAGCTCTCTGGGCAGCTAATAACAATTTACCATAAAATACAAAACCCAAATACAATAACACAGCATGGCATTTCAGTGTGAAACTTAAAGCAGTATTTAAAGCAATCTGAGCAACTAAAACAAGTTTCAGCATTTCTCCCTTAAAGCAGAGCTTCCCAAACCATAGCTGCAGCCTTGCTTCCATGTCTCTGGGGCTGGGGAGCAGGTGGACTAGCTCACCTTGATGGAAAGCATCTCTCATTCAGAAGAGATTCATACCTACCCTACACTTCCTGTAGGCCTGCTAACTCTCCTTCTTTCTGACAGAAAGGTTAAATGCATACAATAAAGATGCTGTGAATTGTTCCTACATGAATAACAGAAATACCCTTCCAATGCCAATGAAGTATAGATCTGGGTGCTGAGAACCAGAACAGAATTCAAATGTTCAATTCTAAACATGACGTCATTCCTGAAGAATCAGGGGCAGTCCCCCCTTGGATAACAGATCCTGATGCTTTTGCCTTGCAGGAAGGCTTCAGACATTCAGTTAAGGAAGGGTCCTATTTCAGTACCTGTAACCTGGAGGGCTGTTGCCAGTCAGTAAAGACCACCAGCAGGGTACCTCTGGTCCATGAGTCTGATGCAGCCCACAGAGTTTGCCCAACGGGTAGGCAAAGTTCTGGCTCTTGCAACTGCTTGCCAAGTCCCTTTCTCTGTGCAGAGGGGCACAGAACTCTCGGCCTCCGTCTGCATGGAGAAAACTCAGAGCTGAATGGCATAATAGGCAGTTTGTGGCAGGGCCCTGCTCTGTTGATCTCACCCAGCTTTGGACTAGGAGGATATCTGGTCCTTGGACCCAAAGAGAATGGCCACCATGAGGCATTTTAGACTGTAAATTCTTCGAAGCACAAATCACCTGGATCCTAATGCAGAATGCTGGAAGACTGTATTTGGTCAACTTTTTGATGTAAACTGATCCGATTCATTCCTGGACTACGGAATTTCCCAATTTCATACTTCTGCAATTTTTGTGATGTAGTTCTTAGATACCAAAAATAATTTGTAAAATGAGCCTAATGGGATTTGGACAACTATATAATTTTTTGTTATGATTCTAAACTATTTTTCACATGTTCCTCTTACTGATTTTGATTCCAGAAACTCCATCCCCTTGGCAACTTGATAGGAAAAATAGAGAAGGTCTTCATATGTCAGCACATTGAGGTCTTCTTCATCATCCATTCTCCTCTCCTCATATTTCATTTCTTCTACAAATAAAAAAATCATGATGGCAGATGAGAAGCTCAGGATCTAGCCCTTCTTGGTTCCTCAGAAGTTCACATCCTCTTTGCCCACCTTCACCTCTCGTTCTCCCCAAACACAGGCCTTAGTGATCTCCTGAATTCTGTTCATTATCCCCATTCTAAAAGGTTGAAATGCTTCTGTTAAGGCTTAGTGGCTATTAGAATAGCTTGATATTTTTGGCAGGTTTATGTTTGGCCTCACCCACCCAAAAGATGGCTTCCTCTAAACTGGAATTCATCCTTTGGGCTGAAATGGTTCTGTATCCCTACTCTATAATCTCTCAGTAAGATTATACACCAAAGGATCCCCCCTCCAGCACTTCACAACTTAACAACACATGGACATGCACATATTCACTCACACACAAATAGAATCCCAAACATCCCCTTACTCAAGTCTTGTTATACATTTCTGCAGAAAATTTCAATATATCACCTTCCTCAGAAAGCAGAGCCATTCCAAATAGTCTAGAGGCCAAATCAGAGTCTTCTTTTGCTTGTATATTTTCAAAGTCACCCACTTCATTCCCTGGTAAATATGATCCATTTTTTAATATGCTTGAAGTTCTGAAAGAGATGTTTGATTGTTGAAAAAGTGTTACAGCAAAGAAGACAGCATGAGAATGGCTGCAGCTTTAATACAATATACATAAACAGGAACAACATCTATGGCAATGGGTTGGTTTATTTTTATAAAAACAGATTGTTTTTGTCATGAATTTGTGCCGTGTTTGATCAGAATTTGTTCCCCACTGGGACAAGGAATGTTCTGTATCACACATTCATTTTCTATAACAAAGCCTTCAAAAGAGGATTTGTGATACTTTTGATCCAATAAAAGAAATGAAACCAATCAACCTTTTGTGGCTTTGCTAAGGAGGCATGATAGCAGTCCTAAGTACCTGGCCCTATAAGCTGCTGTCTAACAAAAAGGTTTTAACAAAAATTTAACAAAAAGGTTTTCCTACCCACCTTGAGGTTAGGCTATGGGGAAAGAAGAAAGCTTGGTGAGGGGGGTACTATGAGGAGATGTTTCTGTGTGACTGGACTGTGAGCACATTTCTAGCACTGAAAGCTAATTGTGGGTTAAGCATATATTCAGTGAAACCTTTGTTCCTTACTTCTAAGGGTTTGTTACTCCTATCCAAGCCACTGTTTGGCCTCTTGTGAACTTCAAGATTCCAGTAAAAAGGAAAAAAAAGATCCTGTAAATCTGAAGTCTACCCAACTAGAAAAACAGTGAGGTCCTGTTGTTTGATGGAAAGCTCATATAGCTAATCCGTAACATGTTACTGAGGGCCAACTCAAGACATTTCGCTGAATGAGGTGAAGAACACAAGGGCGCCTCCTCTCCTTCCAAGTTCAGAAGCTGACCACACTGACCAACGCATCTTTTTTCAACCCCAGTGATGGAGCAGCATCTCCCATTGCACCGGAAGACAGCAACACAGGTGGCACACCCTAGGCAGGCCAAGCAGCACGCAGCTCTTTCCTCCGGCACTTTGGTGGTGCCTCCCAGCATCTTCTGCCTGAAGGGGCTGCTTCACTTTGCCTAATGGCAGGACCGGTTTTGGCTTGCCTGATTCCAGCTTTCCTGTTGCCTGGCTCAATTCTCTGACTACCACCTGTCTGGCCAAGGACTTCCCCTGCCCTTGGGACTGACTGACTGACTGCATGACAGCTGTGGCACCTCCAAATCTCATACATTTAAACCAGAGCATAATGGCTGTGCCTCATGCAGAAAACATCACTTCTTGCATTGCACTAGGATTGTGACACTCAGGAGTGACTCCCATGGACTGCAGTGGGATTTGCTCTCAGATCAGGAGCAACACTAATCTACATATGGGGCACCCTAAAGAAATTTCAACTGCCAGAAGTGGCAATTTGGGCCAAGCCTATATCTGGCAGTGACTCTTTCTAATGGCATTGACACGCAACAGGAATAATTAAGAAGATAATGGAGAAGTCATATCTGCTGGGCACAGGATCCTATTACAGGCATTGGAGCGAAGCCCTTATGTCAGGGCTGGGGAACCTACGGCCTTCTAGATGCTACTGAACTCCAGACAGCATGGCCAGTGATCAGAGATGATAGGGATCCTGGTGGAATAATATCTGGAGAGCTGCAACTCACCTTCCCTACCCCACTGGTCTTTTTTTTCTTTCTAAGCATTCCCAAAGCCCTCAAGCAACCAAAACTTGTCCCCAGACAGCCAGCGCCCCTTGGCAGCTGCCTTAATGGATACATCACACACTTGCCAAGCACAGGGCACATGTTGCAAATGAAGCACCTCCAAATTTAGCCTGGAAGTATGCTTGGAGGTGGGCAACTTTGGGACATATGGGGCCATTTTGACCTCTACAAGGAGGACAGTATCTGCCCTATAAAGCAAAAAATGAATTTTAAAAATTGTTAGAAAATGTCATCTGTAGCTGTAAGAAACACTTTTGTGGTGCTCCATAGTGCTGCAGATGCAATCTCCCGCCAAAATAAATAAATAAGCCTTTATCCTGTGTGTGGGTGTGTGGCCTGAATTCCACAGGCTGCATGTTGCTTCTCCCTGCTCTAAGTGATCACAACGGGTCCTAGGTCTGCCTTTTTCTTTGATGCAGCCCTTTGGCGCCAGCCTTGCCTGCAGCTGGCTTTCAAAGGATGGTGCTGCTTGCCTGGTGCATCTTAAGAAGGTGGTTCCAAGGCCAGGCATATGTTTCCATAGCAGGAGGAAGCAAGTTACTCACACAGAACTTAATCTTATGTGCTTCACTGAACCTGCCCAATGAGCCACTTTGGTGCTAGACCAGAAATAACAGCTCTGAACCTCCTCAAAGGTAATTGAGAAAAAAGAACTGCATTTCCAAAAGCTGGGTCTGGCAGGCAGGTCCAAGGAAGAGTTCCACCAAGTCCCACCATTAGGGATTTTCAGAAGCAAAACTCCTTGCAACTGTAGTCTTGACCCAGTGATCCTTAGCACTCATAATCAATAAAAGGGGTGGATCCAGGCATATTTTCCCAAACTGCACAGGGATCAGGTCAGTGGTTACCTTGAGTTAGCAGGCCCAGGGAAGTTGTGGTAAAAACTGAAGTTGTGCTGTCGGAAGACATCAGTCCATGTCTTGTGAAATCGGTCTCTCTTGCTCCGTAGGTAGTTCAAAAGGTCTCCATAGCAACAGTATTCAAAAATCAAATAAATGGGTCCTGAAAGAATGTTTTAAATGAACAAACACATGTATCTACTAGACATCAGGTAGAAAGACTTTGGGTGGCTGCAGTGCCACCTCCAGGTTCTGGGCTTCTGAGACAAGTCATCTCAAGTGGGTCCCCTTGCTCAGTGAATTGACCTTCTAATCACCACCAACTGTTCTTGCTCCTCATCCCCTTTCTCCACATTAATTCCACTTGCTTGCTGGACAGGCAGAGACCAGTGGGCCAGCAGGCAGTGGCCACTGCTCCTCCTTCTCCTCAGCACCATCATTGCCTGGGCTGGAGGGAGAGACAGGTGAACAAGAGGTATTCGATGTTGTAAGCCGCCCCGAGGCCTTGGCAAGGGGCGGCATAGAAATGTTTTAATAAATAAATAAATAAATAAATAAGTAAGTAAGTAATAAATAAATAAAAGCCCAGAGGCCCTTGTTGAAGGGCTCCAGCTGGGGGGTGTGCCCTTGCCATGTGCCTGGCCATGCCTGCCTTTGATGCCAGGCCTGGCAGATGCAGCAGAAAGGCAACTAGGAAGGCGCCTTACGCTTCAGGCACAGCTTAGTTCCATACTGTCTATGCCAACTGGCAGCAGCTCCATCAAGTCTTTGCCAGAGATCTTTCTCATCAGTTTCAGCCTGGTCCTGTCAACTGCAGAAGCCTGGGACTCAGGAGAGGCTGGCAACTCCTCTGTCAGTGAGGTTCCTCATCTACTGCAGATTTTCTTTTCAACTTTGTAGGAGCAGTCAATGGTGTGGAGCTCCATCCCCACCCAGGAGCACCATAGGTAGTTTCTGTAAAGCTGAAAAGGAAATCATTAATGGATAAGGAGACCCACTGACCGAGGATTTGCCAGCCTCCCCTGCTGGGACTTAGCCATGCAAAGTATCTGCTCCTCCACAGAGCCATGATCCCTTCAAAGTTCTGTCAAAGACTCAAGGGACCCCCTTAATTCTTTATGCTTTCTTTTCTTCTATGGGGCAAGAGCCACAGGCCTAACAGACCGATGTTTATGCTACATTATGTTATCCACCCCTTAAAACAGCTCCAAATGATTCATGCAACATGGATGTATCCAGCATAAGAGGCTGCCTGTCAAGATGGCTTTACCTAATTGGTTTTTAATGAATGAATGAATTTCTATGCTGCCAAATAGCCAAAGCTATCTGGATGATTTGCAGCAATTCCTAAAAGCGAGATATAATACAGCACAAATGTCCACACTAACATTTTTAAACACAGGTTAACAAAATGCAATTTAGCAACAGACTGAGTGGTCTTGTTGAAAACAGCTCACATAAGCGCCTCCACCCAGTTATTAATTAAGCATCATGTATCTTTAAATGTCTCAGCACAGAAGCCTTGATTTAACCTGGCACTGAAAGGATGGCAAAGTTGACGCCAGGCAACCCTCAGTGGGGAGATCATACTAGAGTTGGGGAAGCTACCACTGAGAAGATCCTTCCTTTTACAACTACCCTTCCTCTTGGAGGAAGACCCATTTCGATTATCCCTGATTTTGATGATTGATTCCACATTTTCAAAAGGTGTTCTATTGAGTATTGTGGTCCCAAGCTTTGTAAGCCTTCATAAATTAAATCCAGGTCCTTGAACTGGGCTCAGAAGCAGGCAAGCAACCAAGAAGGCCAGAACCAGAGATTCCTTCTGGTTCCAGTCATTAGCCTGGTTGTTGCATTTCATGCAAGCTGCAGATTCTAAACAGTCTTCAAGGACAGCCTCTTTTGGCATGCATTACAGTAAATCTAACTGAGATATACACTTTTGAGTGCATCTTTCCTCACCTGAAATGGTACAAGCTCCTAGCAGATTCACAATATTTTCATGACTTCCAATGTGAGTCATCATTTTGAGTTCAGACATAAGAGCATCTTTTTCTGAAGAGCTATACTTTTCTGTCAATGAAAAATATATATCATATCAACAACATAACTAGCAATTTATACACCAAGTCTGCATGCTTTAGATCAGCATTCCCCAGTCTGGTGCCCTCAGGTGCGTTGGGCTTCAATTCTCATTATTCCTTGCCAGCATGAACAATGGTAAGGTGAGATAGGCCTTCCTGTCCAACACATCAGGAAGGCACCAGTTGGGGAAGGTTGCTTTAGCTTCTTAATGGATAGTGCTAAAGGCAGTATCACCGTTCATACTTTAGGTTGGCTCTAGCTGCAGTAACTTGGCACTACAGCAAGTGAAAATTGCTTTATGCCTGGAAACAGAGCAGAACTGCCAAGTTACCTCAGCCTGTGAAGCTCATTCCTATGATTAAGAATTAAGTCAATGGACTTATACCTTGGTAAGTGTGCATTGTTTGGAGCTTTATTTTCAGGAATGGTTAGCATAGCTTTTAAGCAGTTTCTTTGGTTTCTGTGGGTCATCAGATGCTCCATTCTTACTTGTAATTTCTCTTAAATCCATGGAGGACTGCTTTCCCCAATATCAACCATCTCTGGGGACCTTGAGAAATGTGGTCGCTACCAGATGTGGCGTGACCTTTTCAGTGGTGGTACCCAGGCTATGGAACCCCTTTCCAGTTGAGATTTGGCTGTCCCACTGGCTGTTGTGATTTAACTGCCAGTTAAAGACCTGTTTATCTGGGCGGTATAGGAAAGTGCTCTAGCCATTCATTAATTGTGCTGATTGTTCTACTGTTGCATATTTTTGGTTCAAGAGTAATTATTTTAGTATTGTTTATGCAATGAACTGTTTTGTACTGCTTATCAGCCTCCATGTGAGCTTTCCTACATGAGGCCATTAAGCAGTTGTTAATCTGCTGAATCTCCCTTTTGTTTTGCCGTGCAATTCAGATTTGAGCATGAATGACGAGGATTTCCATTTCTATTTTTCCACTACATGGCTTCAAGTGTCTCCAGTGCAGGGTTCACAGGCACCTCTTATGGTTTCAAGCAGCAATTTCTCCTTGCCTTGAGATGCTGGCGATTGAAACTGGTGCCTCCTGCATGCAAAAGAAGTGCTTTGCCGCTGAGCCAAAACCTCTTCCTGAGCTGATCAGTTGTTTGTGATGTCACATCATTGGCCAGGGGTACCAATCATGGGCACTGCACAACTGCAGTATACCCCCGCTTGCTCCTAAGGATGGCCTTACATTGTTCTGGAATCCTTCAGCTACAATCCATCTTCCCTAATAGCCAAGAGACTTAGGATTTCTCTGCCTGAGGCTTTTAACCTGCCTCTTTACTGAGGTTTCTTTGTGGGATCAAGTCTGGCTTGTTTACACATGCTTTTGTTCCAGGGTTTTTCTTTCTCTTCCTTTCTGTATATTCCATTACACAACCACAAGGTGGTGCTGAGATAGAGTGGAATTGTGAAAATAGGCAAACTTCTCATTTTAATTCATCCTGCCATTTTCAGATAATTCTCACTTTCCTCAATCTCAGCAAAAGCAGCAGAAATGCTTAGAAAACATGGGAGAGGCCTTGGAGTCTGGAAATATTAGGAAAAACACCCACAGCTATCATGGATAAGGAATCAGGAATCCACAATAAATGCTCTTATTCTGTGTGACATCATTATAACTTGCCAGAAGAGGGAGCTATTGGTCTATTATCTGCTGTCCTTGATGCAGTGGTTAGTCCTGCATTTCAGGGACTCTGCAGTTGTGAAGTGACACAAGGCCCAATGATCTTTTGCCTGGCCCTGATGAATCCATCTGTTCTTTTTCCTGCAATTCATCTCTGCAAAGTAGGCTAAGCTGATTTCAGCTCAGGCCACCTGCTTGAGCCTTGGTTGGCCTTGTCACTTGGTTGCCAATGGCCTTCAGCTTGGGCCAGCCCTGTCTTCGCTGAACTACCATAGCACCAGTCCTGACCCTGGGTCTCAAGACCCTCCACCAACCGCTGCCTTTAACATGAATATGCAAGTCTTCCCCAACCTGGTGCCCTCCCAAACCCCTACCTCATTGGATGGAACCCATGGAAATTGTAGTCCAAATCATCTGCCAGGCACCAGGTTGCCCACCTTTTGGAACACACTCTTTACAACATGCATTACCTTTGAGCATTTTGACAGCAACCTGGGCCGACACTCCTGTTTCATTTATTCCATATGCAATTGCATTCACCACTTTCCCAAAGGCTCCAGAACCAAGAACTTGCCCTGCAAGAAAAAGGAGAAAGGAAATGTTCTCATCTTGCCATCTGGTGACAGCGTGTATTAACTTCATGAGGAGTTTCACAGTGGATAACACAGACTGCTCACCAAACTCCAGATTTTCTCTGGGAAACTCCCACTTAGGATCATACTCCACCTCATCGAAATTGACATAGATGTATTCATTATCCAAAGGGCCAACCATCTGTATCATTTGCAGCTGGCTTTCGTATCTGGACTGCTATGAGGAATAGGAAATCAGTGGATACCGACAACTATTAGTGGATACCGACAATTAGAGGATACAAAGGAGGGGAAGTAAATGAAATAAGGCATTGATTTGCTCTTACCTTTTTGTGATTTTGATACATTAATAAGCACAACACAATGATGATTGGGAAACAGAATCCAAACATTCCATATAATGTAACATTATTTGACAGAAGAAATACAACACCTTCTACACCTTGAAAAGAAATAATTATTAACACTCTTTCAGCACATGGTACTTTACACATCTAATGAACTCTCCAGATGTGTTAGACTACATGTCTCATCACCCCTAGCCACCAGGCAGGGGAAAATTGGTAGTTCTCTAGGTGAGTTACAGTAGATTGGCAAGGATATCTGACTTCCAACTGTTTAACATAATGACACTTCCTGCCTCTCACCCTTTGGAGTAGCCAGGAGTAGATTTGTATGTGGAAGAAATACAGTCACTTCTGATCAGCAGGGGTGTTAGAACAAGGCTCCAAATTCTGTAATTCTAAGACTTGGAATTGGGTTCAGCTGCTGACTGAAGAGTAGACCTTTGCCCTGCTGGGTGCTGAGAAAGAGAAATGCATGGCTCTATAGGGACGAACGAAGGAGGTGGGACCAGGAAGAAAGTCTGAGGTATGGCATCCCTGAGAGGTTTCTCCACACCTGTTCTAAAACATAGGTTAGGAGTTGGCAGGATGGGGCACTGGAGGTCCAAAACCACACCTCCTCCTTCAGGACTGGAATTCTGTCTCCAGACTTGGAAGAGATTCTCAGACCCTTTGGCCTCAACAGGCACCGTATAGGCCCCAGGATTGCTCTCTAAACTTCCAAACCCCAAGAATGTACTTTAAATTTAAAGTTATGCTAGCAGAATCACACATTTTTCCCCAATGGCAAGTGAACAATTCTTTTGGCTCCTAAAATTCAACTCCTAAATCTCTCTCACACATTTCATGACTACATATCTCTATCCTGAAATGGAAATAGATGGAACACCAATGATTTAAATAAATAAAGCATAGGCATGATTGTACAGTACCTGTGGGACTCACAAAAAGAGAAGTTTCACAAGAAAAGTCAACTGAATTATTTGCACAGCACTCAAAAACAAATCCAGTTTGTGCTTCCCTTGCATTTAAAGTGCTGTTTGTGATCCAGGAACCAAAAGTATTTCCTTCACGTATGTCATTTGAAATTTCAGTCATAATTTCTGTACAACTGCAGGGAACGGGGAGGAAAGAAATTTTTAAAAAATTGACTTCTGCTTTCTAGTACTTACCCCAGACTTGACTGGAAAGTCAAGGCAGGGCATAATCATGAACATAAGTGCACATTTCACTTATAATAACTCTTTATAAGTGCAATATGCATTGGCTTAAGTGTCCCCAACATTTTCGGCTTGGAAGGCACACTTGGGATTTTGAGAGTGTTGTCAGCACTCTCACAAGATGGCTGCTACAGGGACTTGCCCATCCTTAACATGGCTACCACAGCATGGCTTGCCACAGTCTTAGCATGGCCAGGCACAAAATGCTAATTTTCCAGAAGACAAATTGGTGATACTAAAGGAAAAGTAACTTCCTGAAGAGTGGACATGAGCTTGCAACTGGTAACTATGACAAATGAGTTCACACATCATTTTTATTGAGCAGAGCTGCCTTGTACACACGAGAATTTTGGCTGATCAAAAGGAAATCTCAGGCCAGTGCACTGACCATCCTCTGGCATTTATGCCAGAGTACATCTCATGGCCACCCAACACATGATGCAGTAGCACGGGACAACCCTGCCCCTACATTCAAATCTTCTTCACAGATCTTTCTTGGAATGCCCTGCCATCTGAGATGTGCTGTGAGCCGCCCTGAGGGGCGGCACAGAAATGTTTTAATAAACAAACAAACAAACAAGGAGCCAACTGAGAAGAGGGACTCCTTGACTGCTGCATCCTATTTACAGAACTTTCTCCCCACATGTCTAAGATGATGTGTTTTTAGGGGCCTTGGAAAGATACAGATGCTACAAGCAACCATCAGAGCTACTCTGAAAGGGTCAGAAATGTAAGAATTGGGCTGGTCTAGATTAAAAGGAGAAAAATGCCCTTTTCAAGAGGAGAAAGCAGCCCAGCAGGGCCCAGGTTAGTGGCTGGGGCCACAGCTACTCTGCCCTGTGTAAGCAGTTCTGATATAAAGAAGCTTTGATGGGTGTCCCTGACTCTGCACACCCTGACTGCAACTTGACATGAGGAACAACCAGGATCTCTCTGAAAAGATCTCATTTCTCTCAAGTTCCCCAGTGAAGGTAACCTCAGCCAGGTACCCGCCCAATGTTTTGAATTATGACTCCCATCATCTCCAGCCAATGCTCCCAATTATTTGTGATGATGGGAGTTACAGAGCAAAATACTGGGAGACCACCAGGTTTAGGATAGCTTGGTTTAGAGGCTTGAACAGCTGCAGGGCATCTGGTACTATCTGCTGGAGAACCAGGTGCAGCACAATAGGAGGGGGAATTGATAATGGAGCTGCCTGCCAAAGTTGGATTCATTGGTCTGCTACTGATTCACATACATTAAAGAGAGAGTTCAAAGCACAGCCACAGTGCTTTATGTCTCCTTTGGATGTATGTTGGTCTTGGCCTCGTGGGTTCTAACGCACACTGCATTAAATACATGACATGCAACCAAGAATTACAATTTTGTTTCCCTTAGTGTAAGAATATGGGGCTCCTACCTCCCAACAGGTAGGGGATGTTTAAGGGTTTCCATCTAGCCACTTTTCCCACCACCACCATGGGGAGAAAACTACCTTGGCATGTTAAAACACTGCAAAACTGATGAAGGCAGAAGTCAAACCATTTAGCTCTAAATAGAATTAGAAATTCCTCTTTTGTTAGTCTTTTAGCTCAGCACTGACTGCATCCATACTGGCTGCACAGCCTCTTTGCTGTTTTGATGTGATGCTTTACATTCCTCCATGCCCCTCTCTACATAAAGTGGAATTCCAAAGGCCCACTTCTTGCTAAGTCCTAACACAACACAGCATGTGGACTGGTTTCATACAGGATACAGCACTCAGTGTCCATGGATAGGGTCACAATGTCTTTATTTACTTGGTATTCTTCTGGGAACACTTCTTCCAGACCCAAGATGAGGCAGCAGGACTGCTTTCAGAGATGCAAGACAATTGCCCTGATCCCAAGAAGATCATTACATTAGGTTTCCCTGCAAAGATAGAGTGGAACAAAATAAAGAACTTTGGAATGAGAATCCACAACATTTATCAAAACAAACCACTGTAGTGACTGACTCTTCCCTGTTATAACTAGTGCCGGGGCAGTGCTAGGAAAGGATGAGCGCTCAAGCCCACAAGAACCCCACTCCCCCACACACACACACACGCATACACTAATACACATATTCTCTATGTGTGTGAGAGAGTCTTCAAAGGACAGACAAGCTGGAAAGAGGCCAGAGGAGGGCAACAAAGATGATCCAGGGACTGGAAACAAACTCCTATGAGCAGAGATTGAAAGAATTGGGTATGTTTAGCCTTGGGAAGAGAAGACCAAAGAGAGATATAGTAGCACCCCTCAAGTACTTGAAAGGCTGTCACAAAGAGGAAGGGCAGGATCTCTTCTGGATCATTCCGGAGTGCAGGCCATGGGTTCAAGTTACAGGAAGCCAGGTTCTGGCTGGACATCAGGAAAAGTGTCGTGACTGTGTAGTATGACAATGGAATGAATTGCCTAGGGAGGTTGTGGGCTCTCCCACACTGGAGGCGTTCAAGATGCAACTGGACAGCCATCTGAGAGGGATGGCTTAACCTGGAGTCCTGCACTGAGCAGGTGGTTGGACCTGATGGCCTTCTGGTCCCTTCCAACTCTACTATTCCCAGCAGGGGTTTGGACCCAGTCTCCCAAGGACATCCCCATGCATTAAAAAGGGATGCATGGACAAAGCAGAGGAAAGCATTTGACTTCAGAAAGAAAACTCAGGCAAAAGATTCAAAGGGAAGGTTGGCAGGAGCTGAAGCACATGCGGACAGAAAAAGAGCTGGTCCGGGGGGGATCAGATGCAGCAGTGTTGGACAAAGTCTTCTATGGACAGCTGGGTGGCAGCACAGATGGTGTCCCAAGGATTTGGGGCACCAAATGGAAGATTCGGGGCTTCTGACCCCTAGTAACAGCCCTGCCAGAAAATGTAGTTTTACATCTGTTGCCACCAGTGCAATCCCCATGCCAGGCCCATGGGATCCCCACTGAATCAAAGGCAGACCATGCAATACAGATGCTTGATGGACTGCTATCTATTTCTCTATGGAGTCATGAATATATCAAGGTACCCTTCTACTGCACCAGGCTATTGGTCTCTTCAGTTCAGTCTTGCCTAATTTGTCAGCAACTCCCCAAAACTTCAGGCAGAGGCCTATATGCCAGGGAAAGAGGTAAGTTGGGATGCAAGGGGAATATCCACATAGCAATAAGCAAAGAGAACCCATGCCAGCTCCTTCTCCGAAGAACACTAGCTGGCATGTAAAACCCTCTTTTATTTAGGGATGACTTTGATCCATAGGCTGTAGGTGGCCACCTCCACATTGCCAAAAAGAAAATTTGCATTCCCCAAAAAATAATGCAAGAGAATGCCAAGCAAAACATGTTCACATGCAAATGCATATGTCTAGGTAAAATTTTAGAAATAAATGAGACAGAAAGGGAAAAAGCAGGATACCAATGCAATATGGAGGTTTGTTCAACAAACCAATAACTACAGATAATTTTATTTTGCTTCTTTCTGTCTCTTTACTCACTTTTCACATAAAGTTTTAATGTCTTCTTCACAAACGAATCACCATTATCTGCATAGAAGACGTATTCACCTGGCTGGTGTTTATGGTCACAGAATTCTGAAGAGATGCTGTTTCATAAAGGAAGGAAGGAAGGATCACTCAACCATGGATGCATTCATTATGAAAAGCTCTTCTTCTTGTTGTTTTCAAGTTAACCAGGCTGCTATCAAAGAATAAGAACCCTAAAAATAGTATTGCAGGCAAGGTACTTGGTTCTTCTATGAACAGAGCAGAAGCAGCATCTTCAGCTTGGAGATGAAGCAGCTCATTGACTAATGGAAGCAATTCCGTTTCTATCACAGACCAATGTATTAGACCTTTCCCAACATGGAGTCCTAAAGATGTGTTGGACTACAATACCTACCATGCCCAGCTGTCCTCTAACCCTTCATTGTTCCTCACAACCGGCAGTATCTGTTGCCTGAGCTAGCTGCCTCACTCTGCCTAATGGCAGGGCTGGCCCTGCCAGTTACCTGCATAATCAGATATTACAGCCCCTCAACTCTTCTCCTCTATCACTGCCCCCCTTGTTTCAAAATTTTACCTATCCAACATTGTAAGAAATACACCTAAATATGCTAGATGGGCACTTAAAACCCTACACAGGATGCAAAGTATCCTATGATGGGATTCCTCAGCTTCCTTGTGCTTCAGAATACAAGAGGCTAGTTTAAGCAAGAGCACTGCAAGGCTCAAGAGGAAACTACTGGCAGAGCTTTCCCTGACGTACATCCACAGGCTTTGCTATACAACAGCATGAGGGGGGGGGGAGGAGGCACCTTTGTCAGAGTAAAATAAGCTTTCAATACCTACAGTTCTCCAGATTGCATGCCAAATTGCACCCTGGACAGTCAGGAGTGATGGGAGTGCTTGGGCAGTTCCCTGCAAAGCCTCTCCTGGTCAGGACGAGCAATGAGGAGGTGTGGAAGGCTGAGAGCGATACACACAATAGGTAGGTCTCTTCCAGGCAAGCTAAATTTTCACCTCCACTCATGGAATCCATGTTCAATGTGGATCCAATGACCAGATTAACCTAGTATTTAAGCACTAGTCTAGCAGTCAAAAGTGGCCTGGACTTGTATCTAGACAAGAACTTAGAATTCTATCCAGGTGGAGGAAGGAAGGAGATTTCTCTTCCTCCTCTTCATCCACAGAGAAACCAGGCAGGCTGCCAGAGGAGGGAAACCCTTTCTCTCAGGCCAAACACAGAAAGGCAGTTCTCCAAGATGTAGTGATGGCAACAATTTGTATGGTTTTAAAAGGGTAATAGACAAATTCATGGAGATGGCTATCAATGGTGACATATGCTACCTGTTGTATCAGAGGCAGGCTGCTCTGAATCCTCTAATCACTGCTCCCAGAGGTTTCAAATAGATGTGGAAGAACAGTGGAAAAAAGATGGTATCCTATGGAACCCTGATAGCTCAATTGCCAAGAGGCTGAGGGATAGTCACTCAATCTTTGGAATCGACCCTTCAAGTAAAACCAGAACCACTTCAGCACAGTCCCATGGAGGTGATCCAGGAGCATACTGCCTGATCTCTTGCCTGCATTTACTACTCTTGAACAAAGCGGACAACTAGAACCAGAACCCTAAGCCTGTTAGGGTAATGAACAGGCAGTCAGTGTTGCTCCCTCAGAAGAGGAACTGCATACTGAAAGGGGACAGCTCTTCGCAACATGAGCGGTCAGTTTTCACTAGCTCCAGCATCTGCAGCAGCCTTAAGACATACATGCCCAGAGTGCATTGAAGCAATCCATCTTAACTATGGTGCATTTGTCCTGCTTGTGACCCTCCAACAGGCGGTTGATGGGGCACTGAGTGGCAGAATGCTGGACTAGGTGGGCCCTTGGTCTGATCCAGCAGGGCTCTTCTGACGTCCATCTGATAGCTCCTAGTAATTAGGAAGTTTTTGTTCTGTTTCTGTTTTTTGCAGGCTAGTAACTTCAGGAATGTTTATTTACATACTGGTATAAATGCAAAGGTAATAAAATAGATAACAAAATAATATTTATACCTTGATTTCAGTACCATGAGGCCAATTTATCCCGATGATTCAATCCAACTTCTGCTGAGAATAAAGGAAGGTCTGCATTTGCTATCATTAGGTTTTGGTTTACACAAAGGAAGTGAAAACCAGCTAAAGGTTGAGCAGACAAGTTACCTATCTGCTAAATAAGGAACAGAAAACTGATGGGCACTAAGAACATTTTGTGGAAAAGCTTAAAGGAAGTTGTAGGTGGAGTGGAATCATTGCAGTGTGGTTTGAAATGAAAGGCCAAAAAAGAAAAAAAAAGTGAAAAAGTTATCTGTGGAAATTTGAAATTTAATATGTGTAGTTCTGGGGGTCTCATTCCTCCTTTGTTAGGTGGGGTAATTTTGCAAACTTTGCTGTCAATAATTTATCTTGGTCTGCAAGGAAGCGTACATCCAAATCAGATGAATGCCCTGGAAGAGATACTAATGATAAGGAAAATGGCCTGAGAAAAAAGGGCTAAATAATCCTTCCCTCGCCTCCATTCAATTTGACACCATCCAGTGACTGATTTGTCTACGGTTCCTCTGTTGTGCGGAAAAGAACCATGGAACTATGCATAATGTTCTGTCCCATCCTAAGCACACTAAGATCAAAAGGGAAAGAGGAGAAACAAAAGTACCACAGAAAAAGGATCTGAAAGGAACAGTTGACACAATTGACTATTGTTTGACTCATGAGCCAGCAGGGTGATGCAGCTGATGAGGATGTTGTCAAGGTGCTTGGATAGGTCTGTGCAGCCACCTCTATCCCAGATTGTTGCCCCTCTTGGTTAATAAAAAACAGCAGCGAAGGAATAGCCAGCTGGGCCAGGAGGAAACTGAGGAAGGGAGAAAGGGAGTGGTCTCATGTTGCTTGAATGATGCAATGGTGGGACCACTCCTCAAGAAGTCCTTCCAGGACCCAGAAGATCCTAAGAACTTCAGGCTGGTGCCAAATGTTTCCTTCCTAGACAAGGTTCTTCAGTGCATGGTAGCCAACCAGCTGTAGGCATTCTTGGATGAAAATGATTAGCTGGACCCAATCCTGTCAGGGTTCAGTCCAGGTTTTAGCACCCTGTATGATGACCTATGATGAGGCCTTTGAATTGTGGTGCTGGAGAAGACTCCTGTGAGTCCCTTGGACTGCAAGGAGATCAAACCAGTCAGTCTTAGAGGACAGCAACCCTGACTACTCTTTAGAAGGCCAGATACTGAAGAAGAAACTCAAATATTTTGGCCTCCTAATGAGAAGGAAGGACTCACTGGAGAAGACCCTAATGCTGGGAACAATTGACGGAAAAAGAAGAAGGGCACAGCAGAGAATGAAGTGGCTGGATGGAGTCACTGAAGCAGTTGATGTGAGCTTAAGTGGACTCCGGGGGAAGGTGGAGGACAAAAAGGCCTGGAGAAATGTTGTCCATGGGGTCGCAATGGGTCAGACATGACTTTGCAGCTAACAACAACAACGATGATGACCTATGTTGGGCGAGAAACAGGGGAGGGCAAGCCTATTGATACTCCTGGATCTCTCAGTGGCTTTGTCATTGACCATGGTATCTTTCTGGAGCAACTGTTTGAGTTGGGGTGGATGGTACTGCATTGCTCTGGTTCTGTTCCTATTTGGATGGCCAGCTCCAGAGGGTCATGCTTGGGGAATATTGCTCAGCCCCATGGATTCTTCAGCATGGGGTTCCTTAGGATTCATGCTGTTTAACATCTGCATGAACCCTCTGAATGAGGTCATCATGAGTTCTGAAGTTATCTGCCATCAGTACATCAATGACATGCAGCTCTACTTTTCCTCTTCATCTTCATCAGGTGAGGCTCTGGATCTGCTAAACCAGTGCATGGCTGTGACAATGGATTAAATGGGGGCTAATAAAAGAAGCTCAGCCTAGACAAGACTGAGATGTTGTTAGTAGGTGGTTACTCTGATCAGATGGAGGGTGTGCAACCTGTTCTAGATGGGGTTACATTCCCCCTGATGCATCAGGTTTGTAGTTTAGGGGTGCTCCTCAACCCATCTTTGTCACTTGAGCCTCTCTGGTGGTCTCATTGGCATGGAATGCCTTCTACCAGCCTCTGCAGGTAGACCAGCTACACCCCTATCTCGCTGTAGTAATTTACCCTCTGGTTATCTCTAATCCAGATTACTGCAATGTACTCTATGTGGGGCTGCCCTTGAAGACTGTTCAGAAGCTGCAACTTGTGCAAAATGTGGCAGCTAGATTAATAACTAGGACCAGAAAGTATATAACATCAATTCTGCTCCCTTGCATTGGCTGCCTATACTTTTCTGAACACAATTCAAAGTGCTAATTTTGACTGGTAAGACCTACATGGTTTAGGACCACATTACCTAATGGAATTCCTTTCCTCAATTTACCTGAACCCCATAATCTGCAACTGGGGTCCTCTTCTGATTGCAAACTCCAAAGGAGGCACAGAAAAAGCCAACAAGGAAAAGAGCCTTCTTGGTGGTGGCTGCCCAATTATGGAAGAATCCTCCTACTGAGGTCCACCTAGTACAAGCATTATTATCTTTGGCACCAGGTTAAAACTGCCCTCTATTACCAAGCATTTCATGGCTTATGTTGGTTTATATTGCCTGTTTTGAAGTCTAGCTCTATTGAAATTGGTTTAAATGTTTAAACTATTTTTACATTTTGTATATTGGAATGGCATACTCTTTTAAATTCATATATTGGAATTTTATATTGTGATTTTATTGTATTTGTATTTTTGTTGCATTTCTTTTTTGTATTTTTGAAAAATAGCTTCAGCTATTGGGTGTTATAGAAATAAATAAAATAAAATAATAAAATAAATAATAAAGCAGGTGCACTTTTAGGCTACCTTAACAGAAATACAGAAGCATTTATTAGTCTATCAGCTCATGTGATTTACCCAATTCCAAAGCACCATGGTGAGTCTTTGTGAAGATTTTAAGCTTTTGAGTCAGGCAGTTTATTAAACTGCTTAAACAGAAGCAGTGCCCAGAGTGAGGATGGCCATGTGCCCTCTTTTACACAGGACAGCCCTCTGTTTAAAGGCACCTTTTATTTGAAGGGCTGTCCAGTTCATTTTGGTTTAAAGATAATAAATCATAAGAACTGTTGTCCATCAAGAGTTAGCACCAGAGTGAGCTGGCAGGCTCATTGGTCCAGACTTTTACAATACATACTGTAGTTCTATGCAAATATTATTATTAAATTTGCAGCCAAACATATAATGAGCATGTGCAAATTTTATGCACAGTGTAATCCTCCTTCATCCTCTTTCCTGAGAGGCATTTCATCTTTATGGCAAACTGTTAGTGGACACTTTCATTCAGATCAGAAGAAGCAACTGTTCCACTCTATTTTGTGCTGGGCAGGCCTCACTTGGAACACTGTGGTGCATTTTAAGAAAGGCACTGAGAACCTGGAGCAAAGCCAGAGGTGGGCAATCACGATGCTTATGATCTGGAAATCAAGTCCTAAGAAGAACAGGTAAAACAGCTGGGTATACTCAGCTTGGAGAAGAGAAAGTACTGGAAATAACCAAAGGCTAAAAACTGCAGGAATTCAGTTCTGCAGGCCTTTTGCTTTGCAGGGGATTGGCAACATTACCTCTCGCCTTCCCTCCAAATCTATAATTCTATGATTTATATACAAAGCAAGTCAGAAGCTACTCTTTATTATAATAATTATAATATTACACTGAATTTCTATACTGCCTGTAACTAAAGCTCTCCAGGTGGTTCACAATGTTAAGTCACCATTTGGATTTCAACCAGGCCCAATCCTGCTTAGCTTCCAAGATTAGACAGAATCAGACACTTCAGGCTATAACCATAATAATAATTTATTTATGTTGATATTTGTATTCTATTTATGTAAGCCGTCCTGAGGCTTTTGCAATAGGACGGCATATAAATATCCTAAATAAATATCCTAAATAACCAGTGTTACCATAAATGCCTGCAATGTACATTTATTTTTAAATTAGTTGGCCATTTCTGTCTATCTCCTTTTTCCACAATGCACATACACATTTTTAAAGCCAGCCTAACTGAAGACCATGCATAATGCAAATCTTCAGCTCAGGCCTGTAAAACCTCTGTGTCATCAAACTAAACTCAACTGTACCAACTGTATACAGTGGTCAGCCAAGATCATGATAAACCTCCCTTTTCTCTGCCAGACAATAACATCTCCTGCAACCTTGCTTACTGTTTGTAAGAGATGCAACTGAAAGAGAATCTCCCCTCAGTCAGATGCATCTCCCCCACCCCCGTCCAACCCCCCAGTCTGATGCAGAGAGAGGCTCGCTAACAGAAAACGGAGCACACAAAAAATGAAGGTGCCTGTTTAACAATATCAACAATAAAAAAAACAAAACAAAAAGGTGGAAGATGTTCACATGCTCTGGAACAGTTCTTTAAATAAACAAAATACTTTCACGGTACAAGAACCCACAAAGCAACACAGGGACACTGCATACTTTCAAGGTTTGATGCACACGGACCTACCAGCTTCCTCCTGATTCTTAAATAAGCAAGAGGTAAAGAGGTCAACATTTATTTTGCTGGTCTAGTGTTTGCAGAGTCATAGGAGCAGAGATGTGTCTCCCTTGCCATTGGGCCATGCAGTGACTATCTTGGCATCCTAAGTATAAAATTATTGGGTGGTCCACACAAAAACAATCCAACATTTAGCACAGTCTTCCCCAACCAGGCGCCTACCAGATGACTTGGACTGCAGCTCCTAAAAGCCAGTTAGAATGACTTTTTGTTAACTTGGTTTTAATCATCAGACAGTCCTTATGAATAGCTTTGTAGCTCATCAAAGATTCTGAACACCAACAATCATTTATAGGAACAGAAGTGATACACCTGATCATAGTGCAGGCATGGGCAACTTGTGGCCCTCCAAACTCTCTGGTCCACAACTCCCATTGGTCTCAGTATAGCTAATGCTGGGAAATCATGGAAGCTGTATGCCAAAACATCAGGAGGAGTTGCAAATGTCCCCACAGTCTTCAAGCAAGGCTGATGAGGAAAAAGCAAACATAGCTTGATATCAGTTCCCATCATGCAAACTGACCAATTCTGAAGCTTCTACCAAGGACTTAAGGAAATGCCAGACCACAAATGTTCACTAGTTCTTTGTGAAAATACACTCTTTCACTGATGTATTTGCCTGAATCTGTAGTCAGAGCGGGGACAGCACCAGCTGTTCCAGCTGCTTTGGAATTGCCAAAGGAAGAAATGCATCCTCGAAAGATAGGAGAAGAGTTCTGCCTTGTCCACCTGCTGCCCAGCTGCCAGCTGTTGATTAGCAACACTTCTGGCTCTTTGTTTGCAAAGTGAACTTGAGCAGATCATGCAGCTGAGAGAAACACATCTGCATGGCATCTTACCCTTTTAACCTTTTGTAGTTCACCCAGAGAAGACTGGCTTTTGGGCAGACTATAATTAAATCAACAAACAAACAAACAGTATAGCCCATGTTTGCTACTTAGGGCACCAAAAGAAAGGGATATTTCTCAAAACAACCAAGATGTGTTTTTGGTTTAATCTAGAGATAGCTAACATCATTTTGAAACTGTTAACAGTTCAAGACTCAGCCATAGTAAAGTAAGCAGATGGATGAAAGCCCTAAATGGCTTGGGACCAGGTTATCTAAAGGAACGCCTTGGAGGAGAGCTTTCTCTGCAGTGACACGCCAACTATGGAATGTGCTCCCTGAGGGGTCCACCTGGCGCTGTCATTATATGCTTTTCAGCACCAGGTCAAAAGCTTTTTATTTGACCAATATTTTAAAGTTAATTAATTTTAATTGTATATTTATTCATTTAATTCATTTTAACCATGTCATTTTAAACTCAGTCATGGTGTAGCCAATTTATTTGTATTGGACTGGATATTGTATTTGGGGCTTTATTGTCTGTAAACCACCCAGAGAGCCCTCTGGGGTATTGGGATGGTATATGAATGAATGAATGAATGAATGAATGAATGAATGAATGAAAGCAGTTGGATGCTTTACGTTTTCACAAAAATCAGTTTCTCCAAGAAGTGCTTAAATATGCCCCATATGCATCTAGATATGCCCCAAGGGTTTTCTGGTGTTTCCCTATGAACAAACAAGGAAATACAATGCAACGTAAGACATGGTATGTAGTTCAGCTGAATGCCACTGTGTTTGTTTTAATAATTAAGAACTGATACAGCACTTTGTCAACCACTTGGTGATTTAATGGGGGCAGCCACAGATTATGGACATGCAGAAGAATGAAATGTATGAAGCAGGAAGCAAAATCATAGGCATGTTTGCATAGAGGTAGGGAATCATATAAAGACTTGTGGCATAAAAGACAATATGCAGAGAAGAAACACATTCCAAGAAAGTCCATTACCTGTATCTGCCGGTGTAAATTTGCTTACATGGAAATGACATTTGGGAAAACATCCAAATACATCTAACGGGTGGGTAGGCTTTCAGTTCAACTTCCAGGCAAGTGTCTTCATTCATATCAATTTCAAAATCTTCCTTTGCATCAGTGAAAATGATAAATCCTTTATCTGTTAAATGATGAATCAAAATTAGCATCTGGATGCTTAACATGTATTGGAAGAATTGTGAAATTGCATCTCTCTTTTCTTATTTATTTTACATTGTTTATATTCTGCCCAATTAACAATAAGTTATGGAATGGCCTGCTAGGGAAGATGCATTAGAAATCCCAGAATGCTATCTTCAAGAGGGAGTAAAAGGTGTATTTCTTCCAACAGGGCTTCCCTGACTAGTTTCATTTCATAGCTTCGTTTTTAATTTAAATTTGAATTACTGTTGGTTTTAATCTCTTGTAAACTGCCCAGACCCTATGGGAATAGGATAGTATATAGAAACTAGAAAGAGATGGGATGGGATGGGATGGGATGGGCAGGGCAGGGAAGGGTTCAGCTCCTCTGGGCAGTTAACAGTAATAGTAAAAATCAGAAAAACAACCAAGAAATCACCACCACATCAACCACACCACAAACTAAATAAATAATGACTGTAACCATTTAAAACATCAACAGAGCAAAGCTGAAACCATGAGAAATGTAGCATTCCCCAAAATCCTGGAGAAATAAAAAGTTTTCACTGATGCAAGACAGCACCACATTGGTACCCAATTCCACAACTGGAGTGCCATCATTGGAAAGATCTTTTCTCTAGTTGTGTTCCCACCATAATCCATTTGGTGCAGGCATCCTGAGCTTAGGGATCTCAGAAAAATCCACAATGGAGTCAAATGAGTTTGGATTTCTATGAATCCAGCTAGCAGATTCTGCAGTGGATCAGCTTTTTCTGAGTCGTGCAGCTTCTGTGGTACTTTGGGAAGGAATTCCAAACTCTTTATATTCTTGTTGCTGCTGCTGGCTGCTGTTGTGTACTGTTAAGTCATCTCCAACTTATGGTGATCCCATGAATGAAAGCCCTCCAGAGTACCCTATCCCTGCTTAGCTCTTCTAAATTCAAGGCTGTGGCTCACTTTATCTCTTATTTGGTCTTCTTTTTCTTCTTTTGCCTTCAGCATCCCTACCTGAGGTCTTTGAAGAAGACCTTGCTGGCCAAAGAGTTATATAAGCAAAGAGACAATTCTTTAGGTATCCTGGCTCCAAGTTGTTCAGTTCAAATATATCTGTACTATAGTCTTTTGTACTTAACATAGTAGAAATATACTACCACTGAAGGAATGCCAAATTTCTTTCCCAAAAAGGTTGCACATAAAAATGCAAGCAAAGCTTTGCTATCAAACAAAAAATTCATCAAGTTCAGCATTCTGTTTCCCACAGTGGCCAACCAGATGCTCGCAGGAAGAGTGCAAAGAGGACATGAGGGCCACAGGACAGTTCCTTGTTGTGTGCCACTTAGTGACTGGGACAGGGAATGTTAAGCTATGGACCTTAGGAAGAGCAGAGGACAGAACAGCACCACCACCATTGAGCTGGCCAGAGTGAGAGGCAGCTGAACAAGCTGTTTGCAGTGATGAAGAGGAGCAGCAACTCTGGGGGCTTTTTGGCACTGGTCCCCTCACCCTCTGCCCAACTATGCCTGGCCTTGTCTCTGGCCCTGCTGGTAGGCCTCCCAGGCACTTACAATCTTCCTATGAGGCCTCGTTCTGGATTTCTTCTTACAGGTTGCTGAGGCTGGATCCTGTCAGGAGCAGACACAGTGGGTTCTCTGTGGCATCCCAGATACTATGCAACTACTGCTACGAACTTACTGCAGTTGGCCATTACTGAAGAGAAGAACCATCTTTTATAGTTCTTCTGCTGTTCTTCAAAGTTCCGTCTAGTTGTATTAAAATCTTGTTGAATTGTTAATATACTTGCATTTTAAATCTGACACCATGATATCTGACACCATGATAACAGTGGTATATAAATGTTTTAAAATAAACTAACACTGCAGTCTTATATGTATCTGCCTAGAAGTAAGTCTTAACTGAGCTTACTGGGACATACTCCCAGGGAAGAGTATGCATAGAATCGCAGTCTAAATATTTTTAAAAACCAATTGTACTATGTCATTTCAGTAGAACGCTTAAAAGTGGCAGATAAGGAGATATCAAAGATCCCACTAGGCATGTCCAAAATTAGGGTTTCCCTAATCTCCCAATTTCCCTGACCTCCTAAACCTATTTAGGGGACTGAGAATATTATTACACAGGGCCTGAGGAATTCACATAATAGGCAAAGAATCTCAGTCATATTCCAGAAAAGTTCATGAGAGCCATAAGAAGTCCCCAAAGGTCTTTGATTCCTTTTTGCGCTGATCAGAAACACAGGCAAAATGCTTTTGGGTTTCACTGAAACTGCAGAAAGAGTGTTCCAAAAGGTATGACTTGCTACTCTTCAGAGGTGGAAGTGAGAGTAGGGTAGGAAATATACTGAATAGATGAGCTCTGTGAGTACGAAGGACAATAACACAGTGGTAGCACAGGTGCTTCATATTCAGAAAGCTTAGCCCATTCTGAGGATGGAAAAGAGCTCTTCCTGAGAACACAGAGGGCCACTGCCTGTCAGAATGGACAATAATGGCCTAGACAGACTCAAGAATATATTCTGTGTAAAGTCATCCATCCATCATCCATCCATCCATCCATCCATCCATCCATCCCATTTCTATTCCACCAACACACAGATCTGTATGAATGGTTCATGTTTGAATAAGACCCTGAATTTCCTTGATAAATGTGCTCCTTTCCCCAACCCCATCATCTTTTGAGCATAAATGCCATTCCCTTCTTAGAGTTCACCATGGTGCAAGGTTAGGTCTGCACCAAGATCAATGCTAACCAGAGTTAGGACATGCCAGATTTCACAACTTCACTTTTAACCTTGATTGTAGAATTGGAGTTAAACATTGGTACAAGACGTAGTGGTTACGAGCACCTACACAGTCCGCATGGTTATCTTTTTTCCATTCATGGGGAAAAAGCCACCAGGGGATCACATGAGCTCACATGGGCATTCCAGACAGCCCTGCTGTCCTGGAAGCCCAATGGAGAAGAGACCCACCTTGTTGCTGGCAGTGCACACAGAAGGTGTGACAAGGTAGAGGAGAGTAGTGGGAAATGATACAGTTTGGGCTGCTGGCTGGCAGGCAAGGAGGAGTTTAATGCTTTGGAAGTAGTTTGAACATACAGATCTTGACATACGGCTTGACTCTACTTTCTTGGACTTGGATAGACAAATTCATGAGCTGATGCGTAAATTACACTTTCTGGTGGAGTTAGTTCCCCAATAGCAATAGCCCAAACACAGATATAATGATGTACCATGACAAGCCAAGAAAGCAAGTAAGAAAGAGGAATCTGTGTTAAGTAGGGAAGGGAGGAAACTTGTGATTTTACAGCTTTAGTTTAGGTCAAGTCTGGCTTAATTCCTGTTTTCCCTTCTTTCAAAGGGAAAGCAAGTTGAAACAACTTCATTCAGAATGACATTTATATTGCATGCATGTATATATTCAATGCATCACGTGGTATATGGCTTACCTAAAACTGTAACATAAACAGTTTTATTTGCAGCAAGTTCCTCAGATGAACAGGTATAACGCCCTTGACTGCTGCGTCCCACCGAAGAAGCAAACACATACTTCAGTTTAATCCAATGGCCCACATTTTGTCTTCCTTCCAGCATCATGTTCTGGTTTTAAAATAAATTTAAGAGCTGATTATGTTTTCTGTGACAGAATTGTGCAAAATTTCAGGATTGCTGGAAGAAAATGGTAGAGCAGGGGCAGGGAACAACTGGCTCACAGAAGCTCCCAATCTAGCCTGGACATTTTCTTCAAGCCCAGCCCTCTCCCCTAGCCCAGATGCAACCAGGCTGGGGAGAAGGTTGGGAATGAAATCCTCTTGTTATTCTTGTTATTTCTGCTTTGTAATTAGAGATAACAAAGAGAGTCCCATATAAACCACTCCCCTTCCACTTGGAAAGTGAATGGAACACAGTGGCCGCTTTGTTACCTCAGATCACAAATTGAAGGCAACAAAGATCTTTCCTCTTTCATGCGCTTCATGCATTAGGGGTGTGAATAGGGTGCAATAGAGGTGCCCAATTCAGAGAGCCCTTTCAAGTACCAGCTGAGTGCTACTCTTTTTGCAAAGTAAGGAAAATGGCATACAGAAAGTGGCAGATGACATCATGGAAGGGTGAGGAACTTCATGGAAGAAACCTGGTGCCTTAACATCATCTTTCCTCCTGGCTTGGTCTGGGGACAGGGGCAATCCAGCTCCTGGAGCGGTACAGGTTCTTTGTCCTGTGGCAAACATTACCAGGAATACAACCTCATACAGGTGCCATGTGCCTGATAAGTGCTCCATTGGGTTATGTAGAAAATATCTTTCATATAAAACATAAAGAGAGGGTGGAAAATGAGAGCAGAATCTTTTAACAGAAGATCTCAAAGGTTCTTGTTTAGAAAGAACTGTTTTACCTGAAGCCAACTGCCTCACTCTGCCTAGGGCTAGGGCCAGTCCTGCATGCTTTATATAGCTGAGGTTACATCTTTGATAACGTACTTTATAGCAAGGGGAAAGCTAATGGAATGATAGTATATTCTAAAAGGTAGAGTTGTTTAAATATACAGCAGTGGCCATCATAGTCAGAAAGAATTCATTCAGATTTCAACTGAGGATTCAACTTCAGGATTCAACTGAGCTGAATCCATACTAATGTAAATCTAACTGTCTTCAATGGATTTATAAATATGATTAAGACAAGACTGAACCCATTGCGTTTCAGTATAATGAATTTTATGCAATAATCCTGTGCATTTTTAGGTAAGAAAGTCTCAACATTGGCTCTGGCATGCTGGATGGATGTAGGACTGCCAAGACTATATTTCCTTTCGACAAGTATGTTCAGTGACCATGCTTGGAATACTGTGCATAGTTCTGGTCACCAGACATAGTTCTGGTCACCAGATAAGAACTGGAAAATGTTCAGAGAAGGGCAACTATGAAGATCAAGGGGCTGGACTGAACCTTTGTATGAGGAATGGTTGCAACACCTTGGATTGTTTGAGTTAGAGCAAAGTCAAGTAAGGGGTGACATGATAGAGGTGTACAATATGCATGGTACAGAACCTTATGGAGTGAAGCTGATTGGTGGAAGAGTCAAGACTGATTAAAATAACTTCACACAGCACATAGTTAATTATGGAAGTCACTTCCACAGGATGTAGTGATACGTACCAATTGGATAAAAGGGGACCAAATAAATACATGCAACATAAGACTACCAGTCGTCCTATTGCCTCCTGTATTGTTGGGGCACACAGTCAGGATGGTGCTGCAACACACATGTCCTGCTTGTGGGATTTCCATGGGCAACTGACTGGCCTCTGTGTGAACAGAATGCTGGACTAGATGGACTCCTGGCCTGATGCAGCATAGCCCTTAAGTTCTTTTAATATTTTCTGTTGAAACATGCATGGAATTATGCCTTAATGATTGTTTGGAGACAGGCATAGACAAGAGTCTACAAAAAGGTCAGCCACATCTTTTACACTGAATAGGCACATTACCAGTCGAGGGAAGCATCAGAAAGCATTCCTGAACCTCTTCTGCGTGAGAAGAGTCAGGGCTCTCCTTGACAGTGGTGTTGTAGGCACTTGGAAAGCAGTGAGACTTTTCATTGCTTTCTAAGCATCTTTAACGTTCAGCAGAATGGGGGTCAGCCCTCACCCATATTTCTCAGCTCAGAACTAGGGCCAAAGTGGGCGGGGGGGGGGGGGGGAACTGCCTAGATCTTGAGAATGGAGTTCTATCAAATGCCCCCAGGTGGAAGCCAGGCAGGACAGGTGTGCAGGTTATGGCAAACATCAGGTTTGTGGATCTCTTGGAATACCAGGCAGGCAGGCAGGCAGACAACAGAATGTCATCATAATAGACTGAATCAGATATCTGATTTTCTCCATGATGAAGTCTGGAAGTTTCAGTTTGTAAAATGTAAAATACTAATATAATAGTTTTGAAGTTAGTATCTCGTACAAGAAGTAATGGCAATTAGTTGTTCATTGCTCACAAAAAATGGGTTCATCTTATTACCATGTCTAATGCCTTGTTTTCAAAATACCACATTGTTCGAAAGGCGAATGTGGAGTAATTGGCTCTACATCTTAAGAACAGTGGATCTCCAACTTTAAGAAAGAATTCCTGGTCAGGGTTTTCCAGTGCATCTAGATCTGAAATATTACAGTATGTTCAATGAAACATTCAAACAAGCAAACCAAACCTTACAAAGAAACATCTTTAATGAACACTGTCAGTGTTAATGACACTTAATGGAATTCCATAAACACAAGAACACTGCTCCCGGCTCCTAAAGTGCTTGCTCTCCAAATTTAGGCTCTATGTTCTTGGAACCAGATTTAGGTTGCATGCTCTTTGTGCCCCTTCACAAGCATGACTAAGTGCAAGCATTTATACACACATATCAGGCTCCTTTCCCTTTAGATTTAAAATTCATAGTGCAATTAATGAGCGTTCAAAACATTTAAATAAATCAGTAGTGCAACTCTATGCTTGCCTGTTGAGAAGTAAGATCAATTCTGTTCAATAAGCCTTTTTCCCACCATGGAGTACTGCTCCGTCAGACCAAGCTAGCATACCCAGTGGAGACATTTTATGGATGTTACAATCCAACAAAAGTAGGGAAATGATAGCCCAACACACATTGTCCCTAGTTCTGATCTATACATCAGGAGCATCTACCTTCTTGAACATTATTAATTCAACTGACTTGTTACATTGCATTTGTGGCATAGTCTGCATGCATGAATGAAGGAGTGACAAATCCCAAGCAAGATACATACAAGCCCATCAGGAGCCTTACCAACTGTGTAGAGTTCAGTGCATACTTTGCCCATGTCATTAGTTGCACAGCACCATACATGTGGATCAAATAGCAGTTTATCTTTTCTTAGTTCAAGTTGTACCTTCTGTATTCCATCCTTGTCTTCATTTTGGGGGGATCTGGATTTTGTGCAGCTGTAAACCAGAATTACAAACAAAATCTAAAGCAGGAGAGAAGAACCTTTCAGCCTGAGGGCCAACTTCAAGTTTTGGAGATGCTTTCAAGGGTAGCATTCCTGTGGTGGGGTGACACTGAAGGCACATGGGGCAGAGCCAAAAATACCACAAAGAAAGTCAACATAGATTCATAGAATAGTAGAGTTGGAAGGGGCCATGAAGGCCCAACCCCCTGCTGTTGCAGGACACCAACCAGGCGGATGGCTGTCTAGTTTCTTTTTGAACCTATGAAAGAGGCTTTCATAGCTCAACCTCTCATTTCCACTTTTTCCATGCGGGGGTGTGGGAGAACTAAACAAAAACTAGTTGGCTGGAGGAACTTGGGGACCCTGACAGCAGGGCCAGCCCGCCTGTTATGGAGAATGAAGCATTTGCCTCAGGTAGCAAATGTTCAGGGGAGACAGCATAGAGGAGAGCCTTGTGGACCTTGTAGGATACCCTTTGGACCCAAGCTAGCTTGCTGCTTTCAGGGGTGGCAGAAGATGCTGTCCCAATGTCCGTCTTGAAGAAAGCTCAATCTAACACTGCAGTCAGCTGCTGTGCCTGGAATGGGAGGGATGCCATCTTGGGCTGGTCCTGACTAGATGCAAACCCTCAGTAGATGGACTTGGTCCCTGTGCTTGAATTTTCTCAACCCTGACCTAAAGATTGACCTTAAGAAGACTCGCCAATATGTGAAGGA